AGCTTTAAAAATTAGCTTGTCTACTTTAAAAAAAATTGTGACTCAGTGGTCTTTTCATTAAATGAAAAACTTGCTTTTAAAACTTCAACTGGTTGCATTCATCTGAATTATCCTGCAATCAGCGATTAAAATTCCTTTGCAGTTCACTTTGTTTACTAAGAACTGCATGAAAACTACATTGAGTCAAATAGACCTTGCTATTCTGAAATGTCATTGTCTGCCAGAGAGTGGGGACATTAGGTACCCCTGTTTTGCAGGGCCAGATTAAAATAGGGGCTGCTGGAGCTGCAGCTCCAGGCCCAAGCCCATGGAATATCCCCATTGATTTAAAAAAAAAAAAACACACAACTCTTAGGGTTGCCAGGTATTTCTTAGGGTTGCCAGGGAATTCTCAGAAGTATTTCTCAGGTATTTGAGGCTGCCTAGCCGGTGTCGGTATTGCAGTAATACCGGCGATACAAATGTCATTCAAATTCAAGAAGTTACAGCATTTCCCTCCTTGCCTCTCTCTACTCACTGATCCGCGGGGGAGCAGCTCTGCACAGAGAGTCCAGACAGCAGCTCCGAGCCTGCAGAAACAGCCGAAAGCTCAGGTAAGTGATGGATGGGGGGAAAGGCTGCAGGCAAACATGGGGACACAGACACTAGGGGACACTGGGAGACACTAAGGGACAACGAGACACTGTGAGACGTGGGGACACTGAGACACTAGGGGACACTGTGAGACATGGGGACACTGAAACACTAGGGGCACTGGGAGACCTGGGGACACAGACACTAGGGGAAACTGTGAGACATGGGGACAGTGAGAGACTTATTCTCTCAGTGTCCATGTATCGGTGTCCCTATGTCTCTCCCAGTGTCCCCTACTGTCTCAGTGTCCCCATGTCTCACAGTGTCCCAATGTCTCTAAGTGTCCCCTAGTGACATGGGGACACTGAGAGACATGGGGAGACATGGGGATACAAACAATAGGGGACACTGGGTGACATGGGGACACAGAGACACGGGGACACAGGGAGACATGGGGAGACTGGGAAACTTTGAGAAATAAATATCAAAGAATATCCAGGAGCTTATGTTAACAATGGTATTAACACATGTAGTATAAATATAATCGCAAAACTGGAAGAATGCACAATGGTAAATAGCTAAATATCATGAAAAAGTCCAGATAGTAGTTGCACACCAGATCAGTCCAAAATGAGAAACTCAATGTATCATAAAAACCTCTAACTTGCTAAGATATCCTTTGCAAGGTTAGGCGAGGCTAATATGAATTTAGTTTACATTCATATGAGAAGGTCTTAATCATAAAGAAAAATAATAATAAATAATAAAAAATAAAAAGGGAGAAAGAGAAAAATATACAAATATATATATTAAATTAAATTAATTTAAGGCCTGTTAGTATAGCAGACTAGCACCCTAATTCACAGTCCAAAGCAGCAAACTGGGCTAGCTGCCAAAAATGTAGCAGCCACAAAGGAAATAGCCTAAATTGTTGCGTTTTATATCCAGTGTCCCCATGTCTCCCAGCCAGCGTCCCCATATCTCCCAGCCAGTGTCCCTAGTATGTCAGTGTCCCCATGTCTCCCAGTGTCCCTGGTGTCTCTCAGTGTCCGTAGTGTGCCAGTGTCCCTAGTGTCTCAGTGTTTCCTAGTCTCCCAAAGTCCCCTAGTCTCCTTGTGTCTCAGTGTCCCCTAGTATAAAAGAATAAAATCTCAGGCACTCACTGTGATAGAGTTAAGCAGGTTTATTGGCCACTGCAACGTTTCAAACTGTACCCAGGTCTTTATCAAATCTACAGTGTCCCCTATGTATCACAGCGTCCCCTATATATCACAATGCCTCAGTGCCCCATGTCTCTCAGTGTCCGTAGTGTCTCAGTGTACTTGGTGTCTCAGTGTCCCCTAGTCTCCCAGAGTCCACTAGTCTCCCAGAGTCCCCATGTCTCCCAGAGTCCCCATATCTCACAGTGCCCCCAAGTGTCTCAGTGTCCTTTATTATAAAAGAAAAAAATCTCAGGCACTCACTGTGATAGATTTCAGCAGGTTTATTGGACATCGCAACTTTTTGACCTGTACCCAGGTCTTTATCAAGTCTCCAGTGTCCCCTGTATCTCACAGTGTCCCCTATGTATCACATTGTCTCAGTGCCCCATGTCTTCCAGTGTCCCAACATGTCTCAAAGTCTCCCAGTGTCCACAAGTGTCTCAGTGTCCCCAGGTCTCCCAGTGTTCCCTAGTATCTCAGTGTTCCCATGTCTCTCAATGTCCCCTAGTGTCCTAGTGACATGGGGACACTGGAAGACATGGGGACACAGACACTAAGGGACTGAGAGACATGGGGACACAGACATGCCCCCTTTTTGGGTATGTTCGCTCTTTTGGCAGTTCTGGTTATGTGATTTGCGTCAGTGGCCCACCCTTTTATCCCGTCCATAGACTTCCTGCTTTACTAGACACTGCTGTTTGTGGGTATGGATTTACTTGAAAGATGAAAGCATGGGTATGTGTTTTCTCATAGCTGCATCCTATGAGTTTCCCTCCAGCACCATCTCCATCAGATACATGACGCTTGGGAGTTAGGACTGTTTTAGTGTTTTTGGTCGGTAAGATTTTGTAATTAGGCCCATCACAATTGTCAGCACCAGGTCAACTGGGCTCATGGTTGAGGTCCCTCTGTTCATTTTATTTAAAAGGCAATGGATGGGACGAACACTATGACCGCTCCCCACTTAATTATTTTTAATTAGCTCCACTGTGGGGGAAACTGGTTACGCAATGTCTCTATTTTACAATTTATATATATCCACATCATGGGGTAATGAGGTCACACTGTCCTCCATGCTTTTTTTTTTTATAATTGCTCCTCACTGGAGGCACGGGGATGAACATACACACAGGTGGGGGCATAAGGGGGACCCTGTATCTTAATACCAACTAGACAGCAATTGCTACCCAGTTGCTATTTTATTATTACAGTAAGCAGTAATAATAACATTTATAGATACCTTAATGTGAATACTACTGATATTATTATATTATCCTCATATGGATCCTTTCTTAACAGGAAACTCTATTCATGCTGAGTAGTTGATATTCTAAAAATGCCCAAGTACACCATTTTTGTGGGCAAGGACCTCCAGGACCCATTTAGATATCGAGCTGCACTTTGTTGAATGAAAATAAATCTCCCTCATGATTGAATATTTAATAAATGTTTGCTTCTTTCCTTGATGTGACGTGTTGCCCAAGATTTTATTTTTGTATTACATTTTGGGCAGACTAGATGGGCTTATCTGCCGTCACATTCTATGTTTCTATGTTATTTTACTAGGAGAATGTCTAATCTGTTTTACAGATTCTAGTTTTTACACGTTGCTTACATCTTTACAAAAGGAACTGAAGCTAGTCATCCTGAGTAGTAACAGAGCTAAAGTGCCATGAGTAAGCATTGACTTTCAAGGAGATTGGGGCATTTTGTAAAATGATAGGGCTTAGACTTATTTATTGATTTTTTTCGCCTGCAATAAAATGTACATCCTTCATGCAGTCAGGGAGCCAAGCGATATTTCATGAAGGATTAAGCAATATGCTTGTTTATTGATTCTGTTCTCAAAGTTTGCGGGAAAAAAATACAAGTAAACTTGATGCTCTACTTCTAAAATGGTAATGAAAAGTATATATTCCTAGATTTCTTCTAAGTTAAAGTGAGGAATAATGACTGAATTATACTCAGACAATTTAAAGTTCTTCTATCACCACAATATAACTTTTGAGCATTTTATTAAGATAAAATCTTCACAAAACACTATTCCAATGCAGACAAAGGATATCATAAGACAAAGTAGGGGGTATTTTGTCTTGAAGTTTACAAAACTGGACAAAAGTGGCCATCTCATTTTGTCAATTCGCACAGCTGTGTAAAATGTATACATTGTGAGATTTGTTCTTTGGAGGAACTTGCAATACTACGTGGTCCTCCATAAACCTCCATGATGTGTGAGAGCATAGCTGTAACACGGTCTATTGAAGAAATAAATGACAGGAGCTGGAGAAAGAAGATGGTAGTGCAAACAAGGGAGAATTTCATGTAAATATAACTACCTTCAGCTTCATCACTAGGCCATCATACACTGGGCTGACTTTTAAAAGTCATGAAACAAATTAAAGAAGGAATGAGCGAACCATTTAGCTTATTTTTTATTCAGAGTTCAGTCCATGTCACCAAAAACAAGGTGATTGATGGAAAAAAAGATGATTGGTTAGAGGACAGCCACTAAATTTTGATTTTATTTACAGATCAAGTGAGTATTGACCAACAGAAAGAAATGTTTTTTATATATATATATTTATATATATATATATATATATATAGAAACACTGAGGATAAATGGAAACTCTTTAAACAAATATTAGAAGGTTACATTTCTCAGTATGTACCATTAAGTAAAAAATATAAAAGAAACAAATTTAAACCAATGTGGCTTAGTAGAAAAGTAAAACAAGAGATTAAAAATAAGAAAAGGGCATTTAAAGCATTTAAATTGGACAAATCAGAGGCATCCTATATAAGATATAAGGAAGCCAAAAATACTTGCAAAAAGGCAATTAAAGTGTCTAAACTAGAAAATTAGAAATTGATAGCCAAAGAATGCAAAACCAACCCCAACATTTTTTCAAGCTCATCTAACTTTCTAACTATTCTAAAAAAAACAAAAAAGGAAAGTGCAGGTACACTGGAAACATAGATGGTTCTGTTAGTTAAGGAAGACCAGGAAAAGGCAGAAATTTGAAATAACAATTTTTCTTCAGTATATATTAATGAGGATTCTATGGCAATAGACCACACCTCGAATATGCTGTGCAGTTTTGGGCACCTGTTCTAAAGAAGGATATCATGGCACTAGAAAAAGTGCAGAGGCGCAGGGCCGTCTATAATATGATTAGGACCCTGGGCAATGCATTTTCTTGGGCCCCATGGGGCCTGTCCCTGCCGCTGCCTCACCCCCCAATTACGTCCAACCCGCAATCACACTGACAGATGTACTGGCACATACACACACAGACAGACATTAAAACATTCACAGATACATACTGACACACACAGTCACTACACACAAATATATACTGGCAGACATACTGACACACACACAGACATACATACATACATACATACATACATACACAGACACATACATTAACAGATATACTGACACACACACAAACACATACACTGACAGACACATTGACACACACACACAAGCATACTGACATACACACACACACACAGGCATACTGACATATTCACAGACAGACGTAATGGCTGATACAGACAGACATTAAAACATTCACAGATATATACTGACACATACACTGACATACAAATATATCCTGGCAGACATACTGACACACACACACACAGAGACATACATACATACACACACAGACACATACACTGACAGACATACTGACTGACACACACATACACACACAGACATACTTACATACACACACATACTGACACACAGACATGCTGACACACACACACAGACATACTGACATACACACAGACAGACGTACTGGCACATACACACAGACATACTGGCATACACATAGACATACTGACACACACACACAGACACACTGTCAGGGTATTTATATCGGCAGACATCTTGTGCTATGATAGAAATTAAAAGTGTATATTCTGAGTCACTCTGAACAGAGCAGACTCCATTTTGTTATTTCCAAGTTAACAAAAAGACACAAGATTTCTATCTGTAAACTAACCACTTTCCCAGAGCTAAAGGAATGCATAGTATAAACAAGTGATAAGCAGAAAGGGGGTTGGATAGACTGTCTAATGCTAATGGAATAGATCAAATCTAAACCCAGACAATTGTGACAGAGAAGATTAAATAATAGTTCATGATCTGCCATATCAGAAATTATAGCAGATTTGCCAGACACATAGTCTGGACAAAATTTAAAGAAACCCTTTGATCTGTGAAGGATACGTAAGTTATGGCCACTATCTAGATAGGCCAAAATGACGTCAAAATAGCCACCAGGAAAGGTAACTCTTTCCTGGATAGGTATGTTTAGTGGGACGAGACTGCCCTCTATAGACCAAATACCTAATTTGCGATCCGGAAGATAACCACACCTCTAGTGCTTCTATTGGGTTATCAACTGATGACGTACAGAGAGTCTGGCCCTTTAAAAGTTAAGACAAAGGGAAGATAGAGGTATGCAGGGATGCAAAGGAGAAAGAAAAAGAGGAGAGAGGAATTGGAAGTTTGGGGACTCCAACCTCCATGCAGAGAGACATCCAAATAAGTTCCTGAGACTACCAATCAGATGAAATATCTACTCAACTGGTAATTATACTGGTTTCATTTAATTAATTAAATTAATTAAAATGTATTAATAGCATTATATATGACTGGATAAAGCACGGTCAGATTTCCATATTAAGAAATCTTAGTTAACTAAAGAATATATAGTTATAAACATTCCATTCTGCAGGTGGAATTAAGAATAATTATATATTAATGTGATATTATCACGTGTTAGCATACCGTTGTTTTTATCCAGGTGTATTGATTTGCTCTAATTTAAGATAAGATATCTTTTAGACAAATTAAAAACAAATTCTGCTTTTGTAAAAATATGGTAGATTCTCTTATTGGATGGTTCCAGGAAATGACTAATGAACTGGTTTAAATGTTAATTTATTTAGAAATTACATAAGAATAGATCTTAATTATCTAGGAGATCTAGCCAGCATTGAAAGGGTTATTCTAACTGTTAGCAAGGGTTTTATGGCCCTTCGCTTTGAAAAGCTTCGCTCTATGTCTGTGTGAAAGATAGTCATAAATAAAGTCTTGACAGAAAATGCTGTAATAGCCATTGAAACGTAATACCCATTCCTTTGTATTGCATATCATTTTGTACTGGATATTCATTGATTATTGTCACGCATGTTACATATTTTATTATTAATTAACTTGTTATTATAAATAAAATCTATTTTTATACATTGCGAATATTATTTATATGAAATACTTCTCACTTACGATAAACGTTCTTTGGGATCTGAGAATTGAATTAGTGGGCAATTCTCAACTGTTTACTATTATTATCCCATAAATATCCCCACAACACTGACACACACACACAGACACAGTGACACACTGTGTCTGTGTGTGTGTGTCAGTGTTGTGGGGATATTTATGGGATAATAATAGTAAACAGTTGAGAATCGCCCAGCTGCAGAACCGGAAGAGGGGCCCGGTCGCGCTGTTTAAGCGCCACAGCGCCCGACCGGGCCCTACTGACACATGCTCCCCGGGTGGCCCTTAGTGCATGGGCCACCCGGGGAGCCTCCTCAGTGTGCGGGAGCCGCACCGCCCAGTCCACAGGGGCTGGGCAAATCGCGGGGCCCACAGAGCAGCTGCTCTGGGCCCCCAGGAGCAACTGGGCCCGGGGCAGCTGCCCCGTTTGCCCCGCGTTAAAGACGGCCCTGCAGAGGCGGGCTACAAAATGAATAAAAGGAATGGAACATATCAGCTATGAAGAAAGGTTAACAAATGTAAACCTATTTAGTTTAGAAGAACGTCGCCTGAGAGGGGTTATGATAACATTATACAAATATATTCCGGGCCAATACAAACCATTGTGTGGAAATCTATTCATAAACAGGGCTATACAAAGGTCACAAGGTCACATATTTATGTCTGCGGGAAGAGGTGGTTTTATCAGAGCTTCAGACTAGGTTTTTTGCCTTCTTTTGGATCGACAGCAAAAACATATACAGACCACATAAAAGAGCTGAACTTGATGGACGTAAGTCTCTTTTCAGCTATGTAACTATGTAATATATAAAAATTATTTTAATTTTTTTTACTGTTCCTTTTTCCCTCTATTGGGCACGTCTTCTCCCTTGTTCTGTGACCCAAAGTCACAGGAAATGTATTGAAAAATATATTTGAAATATTTATACTGTGTATACATATATTTTGTGGTACACTAATGCATTTTCACACCATTTTGTTTAATGAAAATAATTTTCCCTACAGAATTGCATGGATGAAATCCATCTGAGCTGAAACACTATATTAAAGAAACAAATATCACAAAAAAAAACCTATTTTTTTCAGACATATTGACTTAAACAAAGCAAATAGTTTTACGCTGCACAAGGTCTAGTTGTTATACTATATGATTCAGAATGCTGAAATAACACTCAAGTAATTGGTGGTGGAGGCAAAAGGATGTTATTGGATGTAAGCCTCTGTCTCTGGCTTATTATAATATAAATTTGTTTACTGCATATTAATTTGTTCATTCATTTATTTTTTATTTTTAGCAATTTGCATTATCTTCTGTTTACCTTTTGTTTAGTTTTTTTGTTTTTTCCTTAGGGAACACTCATGTTAGTTATTTATTTGTGAGATTGTTAGAGCGATCACACACGTGATTTGCACTAACCAGCTCTTAAGATTTTTTTTTTTCTGGCCCTTTAGAAGATTAGCTGGCTCTCTTTTGACCTGGCGGGGGGTTTGCGATCTGATGTGGATCTCACGTGCTCTATTCGTCTATTTGCAGAACAGTGTAGGATCATATGCGTCAGTAAGCAGCCTGGGCTCCGATTCCTCTGATATATGTTATGACATGAGTTGGGTCTTAAGCACTGGGTCTCATGTTAGATCGCATGTTAGATCGACATTGTTTTATCAATCTTTATATTTAGGTTACTAAGCAACAGACATTGGCTACTAATTGACCTATAAGCAGACTTACTACCATTTTCATATGGTCTGTGGGCTATAAAGGTTGCAAGTTGGTGGATGTCATATACCCCTGACAAAGGCTCCATAGCCAAAACGTTGACTGTTTGTTCTGTTGCTTCTGTCAGTTATTTGAGGTAACTTTACATGCAGATGTATATACATATAGCCTTTTGGATTGTATCTATATGACAATATATGCCAATTGTTACTTGGTTACACATATCATTGTGGAAACACTTTACTTGTTAAATTATATTATTTTAATTGATTAAGTTAAGTAAAGAGAATTAAAAAAAAAAAAAATCAATTTATATGGTGAGCAGTAGGGCATCTTTATGTAAATTTATATGCTTTTGTAACTATTGGAGGGTGGTTACTCCTTACCTGCACCCTAACTGCTTGGGCTTATCTGGATTTTTAACCCCTTAAGGACACATGACATGTGTGACATGTCATGATTCCCTTTTATTCCAGAAGTTTGGTCCTTAAGGGGTTAAAACACCCAGCAAATTTAAGGGAAAATAGGTGCTTGTAAAAGCACAATTCAGTGCAGCAAAACACCCCAAATGTGTATTGTCACCCTTTTACTTAATAAACATTATCAGACCACATAAAAGTGCACTCAATGATTTTAAAAAAAGTGCCCTCAATGATTATGATTGTCTCCTGTAGTTTAAAAACCTTCATGACATTAAAACATATATCATAGTGCAGTATGTATGTACAAAAATAGATTGGTGAGGGAGAGGAGGTTGGAAAAACTCACAATCTTTAGCGCCTATAAGTTGACTCTAAACTGTGGAAGCGTCAAACAGAAATGTGTAGTTACACCTTGCTTCAGGTAAGTATAGGTCTCAGAGAGAGACTTGCAGTTACACCTTGCTTCAGGTAAGCATAGGTCTCAGAGAGAGACTTGCAGTTACACCTTGCTTTAGGTAAGTATAAATCTCAGAGCGAGATTTGCAGTTACACCTTGCTTCAGGTAAATATAGGTCTCAGAGAGAGACTTGCAGTTACACCTTGCTTCAGGTAAGTATAGATCTCAGAGAGAGATTTGCAGTTACACCTTGCTACAGGTAAGTATAGGACTCAGAAAGAGACTTGCAGTTACAACTTGCTTCAGGTAAGTATAGATCTTAGAGAGAAAATTGCAGTTACACTTTGCTTCAGGTTAGTATAGGTCTCAGAGAGAGACTTGCAGTTACAACTTGCTTCAGGTAAGTATAGGTCTCAGAGAGAGACTTGCAGTTACACCTTGCTTCAGGTAAATATAGGTCTCAGAGAGAGACTTGCAGTTACAACTTGCTTCAGGTAAGTATAGGTCTCAGAGAGAGACTTGCAGTTACACCTTGCTTCAGGTAAGCATAGGTCTCAGAGAGAGACTTGCAGTTACACCTTGCTTCAGGTAAATATAGGTCTCAGAGAG